AGACTTTTTATTTTACTTTTTATTTATTGAATGTATACTGTTCTCGTACAAACCTCACTTCTGCCTTTACTACTATTGTGATTTTAGGCAAGTCAGTTAACCTCTTGCACCTAATTTCCTGGTCTGTAAAATAGGGATATTATTGTCTATATAACAGTTTGAGAGGTGATAAAATCATGTATTGATATATAATGTGCTTGCCTGGCACAAATGGTGTACAATTTGCTGCTGTCCTAAAAGTGGGCAGTTTGAATGTACCCGCAGCAATGTGGAAGAAAGTCCTGAACTGCTCTCAAAAGGACTACATCCAGGAGAACAGTGGAGTAGCTCTACACTGCAGCGTACTGAGTTTGTGTATATTCTACCCCTTGATACTGTGTCTGTTAGTTCCCAGGTCTGCTATAAAAAATACCACAAACAGGGTGGCTTAAAATGACACATTTATTCTCTCACAGTTTTAGGAGCTAGTAATCCAAAATCAAGTTGTCACTAAAGCCAGTTCCTTCTGAAGGCTATTGGAAGAGTTTTCCCCATTCCTTACTCCTAGCTGATGCATGTTACTACAATCCTTGGAATTTCTTGGATTGTGAGACCCTTATTCTAGTCTCTGGATTCACATGTCTCTAAATTTCCCTTTTAGAGGAATATCAATAATTAGATTAGGGCCCACTCTCTAAACCAGTATGACATCTGCATAGACTCCTTCATAGGCACTGGAGTTAGAACTTGAGCTATCTTTTTAGGGGGCACAATTCAACCCACAACTGTGTGTTTAAGAATATTTTAAGTGATTTCAAGTGTTTGTAGTTTTTAGGAGAAAATCCAAATAATGCCTTTTATGATCTTTGAAATAACATTTAGAGAATTGTATTTTAGAAGTGCTGTGTAATTAGTGACTATAATCTGTGCATCAAATGTTATATGTTTAAAGTGGCCTTTCTGATTTTTTTTTTGTGTGTGTGTATTATTTGTATACCTTCACTATAAATAGCTATAATGTCTTAGGTTTTATATTTTTCTTGTTCTTTCCCATCTCTAATATCTGGTACATACTTGCACAGATTGACTTTCTTATAATTACTCAACAGTGTTTGATTAAATAAATGATAGACTATGTTTTCCATGTTTTAGTTCTTAAAAAATACTTTGATTTTACTTCCTTGAGTTAATATACATTAACTTTTTTCCTAATATAGAAAAATCCAGTTACGCTCTTGAAGGAATTGTCAGCTATAAAGTCTCGCTATCAAGCTTTGCATACTCGGTTTGAATCAGTTACTGCTGGACAGAAAGATACGAAGAGTCGCATTTGTGTTACTTTGACTAAGACTATGACCATGATGCAAGAACTACAAAAGCTAACAGACCTGGAGGTAATGTTTTCATTTAAAGTTATCTTTTGTTATTGAGAATATGTACAACATATTATGTACCAATTCAACACTTCCTATGTATATAATTTAGGGCTATTATATTCTTCAACTTGTACAACGATTCTGATCCTCCATTTCTGAGTTGTTCTTCCTTCATTAATATAAACTCAGTGCCTTCAAAGTTTCCAAAATCTTTTGAATTGCTATTGTTAGTTTGATGCCATATAAATAGATCTTAAGAGCATGATGCTCAAGGAAGACATTTTTTACTACTTAAGAAGATGTCAGGGAATATTTTTGGTTTAAGGTCTAATAGTTTTAGGGATTCATCCACCTTCAATGGGTCCACTCTGGAGTTTATGAGAATTTGCAATTCTATATATTTTCCCCCTTTTGATCAGGATTCTATGGCATAGGTTCCTGAACTTATTTGTCCTACCATCCCCTTTTCAGAAAAAAATACTCAGTGCCCCTCTTTTAAAAAGGTGTGCGATAGCCCATAGTCCAGGATGACGTGGTGTATTTCCCACTGTGGGAAACACTATTCTATGGAATTGTTCATCATGTTCAATAATGGTAGCTAGGCAACATCTAGTTCTTCGGGTCTCATGGTTAGGGAGGTATTTGTTCAAAGAGGTAATTAGCCACATATTTCATATCCTCCTCGTATTACGGACTTTCCTCCTCTTGCTTCAGGTGAATAAAGATCAATTGTTGTAATCTGAATGACATCTTTCAAGATTTTAAGACCCCAGGCCCTATGCAAAAACTTGCAGGTAGAACAAAAATATTAAATTAAATAGGAAGTCCCAAAAATAATGGACCTAAATTTCCAAACCAAGGACCCAAATCCCATTAGGTCTTTAGTTGTAGAAAGACACTTCAAAAAGTTTGTGGATTGAAGTGATCACTGAAGATATGGGTACTAGAGAAATCAGTTGGTACCCAGCTATCAGAAAGAATAGTATCCAGGCTGTCTTAAAGGCTTGTCTTAAAACAAGCAGCCAACTAAACTAGGTGTCAGCTAAGTCCACATGGAAAGTACACAGTATCCCTTGTGATACAAGGATTGTAAATAATAAAATCCAAGCTCAGAGAAGGGAATTGCATAACAGCTTAAATTCTGAGCACCTGGTTTGCAGAAGGCCATGAATGACAGTAAAAGTCCAAAATCCATTTGCAGAGTGTCCACGCAGACGAAGTTTCCAT